ACCGTGCCTGACTGTTTAGCGTTGTAGCTTTTGGTAACATGAATATTCTCATTTACACCCTGTGATGGTTAATTTTCATTGTCAACTTGACCAGATTTGTAATCTCTTACACATTTTTGGATGTGTCCTTAAGAGAGTTTTCAGAGAGGAGTCATTGAAGAGGGATGACCCACCCTGAACGTGGGCACCATCCCATGGACTAGGGTCCTGGCTTGCATAAAACTTAAGTGAGCCAAAGGTAGCTTTCATCTCTGTTTCCTAACTGTGGATACATTGTAACCAGCTACCTCATGCCCTTGCTTTCCTTGCCATGATGGACTTTACCCCCAAACTGTGAGCATAGTAAATCATTCCATCCTTAAGTTGCATTTGTCAAGTATTTTGTCACTGTAATGAGAAAAGTAACTAATACTGAAAACTGGTACCAGGAGTGGAGATATTGCCGTGGTAAACCTGATGGTATATAGCTTGTAGGTCTTTGGAACTGGTTTATGGAATAAATGTGAAAAATTTCAGAGTTGTGGGCTAGAGAAGCCCTAGATCCCTGCAAGCAGAGCTTAATGGGCCATGCTGGTAGATGTTCAGAAGTCCAGAATCCCAAGTATAGGCAGTAGAGCCAGAGTTGACAAGGTTTCTTGGGGAAACAAAGACTATTGGGATCTGGGCTAGAGGCCATCATGCTTGTAAAGAATATAGATGCATCCTGTATATGTGAGAAAATCTGAGTGAGCCCAAATTCAAAAGTAATGGGTTAATTTGTTTGGCAGAGGAAATTTCAAGACAGCATATTATTCAAGCTGTGACAAGGCTACTCCACACGGTTCTTAATCAAATCAGTAGCAGGAGAGAGCAGAAAAGTATGAAAAAAATGATTGTAGTTTGTGGAAAAGGGTTTGACCTAAGGTTGTGGACTAGGAGGGTGTAGACAAATCTGTAATTGTTAAAGAGATTACTCTGCCCTTTAAGAGAAAGCTCACACCCTTCAATGGACCTGTGGGAAAGGTGCCCTGAGGGCAAAACCCTTCCCACTAAAGACTCTTAACTTGTGGAAAATGTAAATTCATCTGAGAGAGTTCAGAATGTGTTGAAGTGGTTCCTTCCTAAAACAACTGCTTAGAGAAATATTTTCATTGTCAGTAACCTTTAGCTGTTGCTGTTAGCAAGATTCAGCTCCAGGAACTCTCAACTTTTTATCTTTGTATTCAGACTTTAGATTTCCAGGTGTCTGTGATATATGTGGGTTGATTTAAGGTTCTAACCCTGGCTCAAATCAAATAAGCCCTAGAGCTAGGGTCGTAGAACACAGATACATTACCAGACCCACAAGCCCCAGGGTCTTTGCCTTGCACCTCCGATCCATCATCTCAGAGCAGGGTCTCCCATAGGCTGGCCACAGCATCCACCAAAGTTTTCAGACAGTAAATTTAGGCACTGATGATTGATTGGCTCAAAATTAACAGATAGAGGGTAGAAGTGGCCACACCTGTCTCCCACAGACGTTCATTCTTACCATCAGTGCTGCTCTCCACTGAAGTCACCACACAGCCTCTCAAGTGAACTGCTCCCAATGGATCCTCACCCTAGTTAAGCTATTTAATCATAAAGTTTAGCAAAAAGAGGACAAGCTGTTATGGTGTCTATTTATACAGAGATTGGATGGTGACCATATCATACTAGTTTCTTATCTATGTCTACAGCTGTCATTAGTTAGTGCTGTGTTGGTTAGACTCTTTATTGCTGTGACAGTATACCTGAGAGTGACTTACAGGTAGAAAGATTTATCTTGGCTCATGGTTTCAGAGGTTTCAGTCCTTGGCTGGCTGGATCCCTTGCTTTGGGCCTCAAGGCAAGTGTCCTGGTTTGATTCTTCATTGCTGTGACAAAATACTCTGACCAATACCAACTTGGGGAAGAAAGGGTTTATTAGGCTTACATCTCCCAGGTCACAGGGCAGCCCAAAGTAGGAACTCAGGGCAGGACCCTGGAGGCAGGAGCCTGGAGTCCAGGCCATGGAGGAATGCTGCTTACTGGCTTGCTCTTCTGGCCCCTGCTCACCTTACTTTCTTATGCAACACAGGCCCACCTGCCCAGGGGTAGCACCGCCCACAGTGGGTTGGGCCCTCCTACATCACTCAACAGTCAAGATGATGTTCTACAGATGTAGGAACTCAGGGCGGAACCCTGGAGGCAGGAGCCTGGAGTCCAGGCCATGGAGGAATGCTGCTTACTGGCTTGCTCTTCTGGCCCCTGCTCACCTTACTTTCTTATGCAACACAGGCCCACCTGCCCAGGGGTAGCACTGCCCACAGTGGGCTGGGCCCTCCTACATCACTCAACAGTCAAGATGATGTCCTACAGACGTGGCCGCAGGCCAGTCCTATGGAGGAAATTCCCCAATTGATGCTCCCTCAACCCAAGTGTGTCAAGTTGACACTAAAGCTATCCAGCATAGCAAGGGAGAATATTGCCATGGTGAGAACCTGTAGAAAAGGAGGCTGTTGATGAAAGGAAGCAGAGAGGAGCAGAAAACAGCCTTGCAGCAAAGGCTTTTTCCAGAGCAATGATCTTTTTTTTACCCCAGTATGCCCCCACTTTCTACTTTTTACCATCTCCCTCAAATGCCATCGTATTATGATTCTCTATGGGGATTAATCCATTGATTAGGCGGAGTCCTTGAGCCATCACATCCTAAAAGCTCATTAGCTCGAAAACAATACCCCAAATTCATGAGCTGCTGGGAGATATTTCATATTCAAACTATAATAAATACTATGCCGTTGTATTCTGTTTCAGATTTTGGTGTTAGTGCTTTTTTAGCAACTGGTGGTGATATTACCCGAAATAAAGTGAGAAAGACGTTTGTTGGCACTCCTTGCTGGATGGCACCTGAAGTTATGGAGCAGGTATTGTGATTTTTGTCTTTTTAAAATGGTTTAGGGTTTTGTTTTGTTTTGTTTTCAATGAAACTGAAAACAAGAAACAAGCGTTGGTAGTGTTTGTATTTGTTTGACATGCCAGGTTAGCTTTGTGAAGTTCACGTCTGATTGGTTAAGAGCTTAGTCAAACAGTTAAAAACAGAATAAAGCCAACAAATCAACTCAGAACTTTGCATAGGACATATGAAACTCAAGACTAAACCAAAGATAACCTAAGGCATAATATAATAAAAACTGACAGAATAATTCTTTTAGTACAAAGTAATGACCCAGTTAATTTGCTTATAGTTTTTAGTGCTGGGTTCTTGCCAGTTAGCTGTCTCCACATCCCCATTTCTTATTTGCACGTCAGACAGTTGCAGCTTGGTGGCATTTGTCTCATCACGTTATGATAACTTCTGATTCTCAAAAATCCAATGCTCATTTTCTACTTAACTTTTTTATTTTTACTTTATTTTTGTTTTAGATTTTGAGACAGGTTCTCTCTGTAGCCCCAGTTGGCCTGGAACTTGCTGTGAACCAAGTTGGCCTCCGTCTCAGAGAAATCCACCTGCCCTTGCCTTCTGAGTGCTGACAGAACTGAGCCCAGTTCTCTATCTACTCTTCCATGACTCTTCAGCAGGGTGTGATGGAGCACACCTATAATTCAAGGATGGTTTGGGCAGCATAATCATGAGTTTGAAGCCAGAAGCCATCCTGGGCTCTATAGCCAGATCCTGTCTTTAAAAATATAGAAGGCATTCTTTCCCAGGGTCATGTTGTTGGGCTCTTCTCTTCCCCAGTGTACATGCTCACTAGGTGTTCTCATCTCTGCTCCCACCTATTAATGATCTCTGAATTATATGCAAATTACTCTTCTCAAGACTCCATGTAATTTTCAACATGGTATGGATGTTTTTCATAAAGGTCTTAGATGTATTACTATACAGCCTAGAGGAAGAGGTCACTGAGGTCACAGAATCGCAAGAGGTTGTGCTCAGGAACAGAATGAACAAATGTGGGCTGTGAGAAGAAGGCTTTGTAGGAAAAGAAGAGGAGGCATAGGGCAGGAGGAAGAGAGAGAAGGTGAATGAATTTGAGAATCCACTGGTTTTCTTGAGATGAAGGATGTTGAGGGACCTGAACCCTGCTACTCAGGTATAAGCAGAAGCTGATTCTGATCTATTTGATAGAGAAGGTTGTTGAGCTTGAGCATGTTGTCCACAGTAGCACAGTAGTAGTGGGGAGGAGAGCATACCTTGTGATCATTAGACGCCCTCTTGTTTTACTAGATAGCAGAACAGCACGTAATATTGACCACTGAGTTTAGTTCTTAGACCACAAACTCTGGAAACCTGTTTTTCCTGTATGCTTTAGCATAGATGAAAAATGTATAGCTGGGGCCTGTGAGATGGCTCAGTGGGTTAGAAGTGCTTGCTCCCATACCTGATGACCTGAGTTCAATCCCTGGGACCCACATGGTGAAGGGGAGAACCAACTCCCGAAAATTGTCCTCTGACCTCTAACCATGAGTGCTTGTGGGCACACATGCATGTGTACACACACACACACACACACACACACACACACACAAAGTATTTTTTAAGTATAACTATAATACGATGGTGGCGTTGTTATAAAGGAAAAACATTTGGCAACAAATTCATATTAACAACTTAGAAAATATTTACAATCCCTTTATAATTTTTTTCATTGTAGAAATAATGATACAATTGCTGGGTATGCTAGCACATCTTTTTAATCCCATTGCTTGGGAGACTGAGGCAGGTTGGACAGTTCTAGGCCAGTTTGGGCTACCTACTAAGATCTTGTCTCAAAACAGAAACACCACGAAGGAGGAGGGGGTTAGGAGGAAAGGGGAGGGTAGAAGAAAGGCAGGAAGGAGAAAAGAAAAAAATGTTATGTAACATTTGGAAAACAAAAGACTTAGGATGATTAGAAAACATTTGTTCCAGTTTTTTAAAATAGACTTACTGTTGTAATTATATCAAACTTAAGGATAATTTCATATTTTTATGTTTTATCACAAATGGTTTTCTATATTTTCATACAGAATTAATAAACACTTCTTTTTAATTACTACATAACATTCTTTTAAGTGAGAATATCATAGTTAACAGTTACTGGTTTAAAGTTTATAACCTGGGTATGGCAGTGCACACCTATAATCCTAGTACTTGGGAGACTGAGGCAGGGGAATCATGTGTTCAAGGCCAGCCTGGGCTACATAGTGAGTGCTGTCAGAAAACAAAACAAAACAAAGCAAAACAGAAAACTCCAAAACTCAAAGCTTAGGAACACTTTCAGTTTTCATCACACATTAGGAGCTACTTTGTAAAAATGTTTTAGCCTGGTTAGAGTAATTTTCTTTTCTTTTTTTTTTTCTTCCAGGTTCGAGGCTATGATTTTAAGGCTGATATCTGGAGCTTTGGAATCACAGCAATTGAACTGGCCTCAGGGGCTGCTCCTTATCATAAATACCCACCAATGAAGGTGAGGCTCATGTTCAAAGTAGTCTCGATTCCTTTTCAGAGCCTTTTACATTTGCTAGTTATAACCATAGTAATTTATTTTTTAGTTTTTTGTTGTGGCAAAGTATAGATAACATTTACAATATAATTGCCAGCTTAACCTCTTTCACTTTGTATTGTTTAGGAACCAAACTAAGGATAATCCATTTTTGAATATGCAGTTGTGATAACAAACATGTTCATAATGTATAACTATCACCATTATCCATATCCAAACTCCTTTTTTTTCTTTGGGTTCAGAGGCTTTGAACTCTTCTTGGTTTTTCATAAAATAGATACTAAATTGGAAAAGTACAGTCACCTTGCTGTGTTATGAAAACAAGAACTTATTCTTCCAGTCTTAAATGCATTTTGGTGTCTGTTGTCCAGACACCTACCTTCTGCCCACCTACCCTTCTTAGCCTCTGGTAACTGCCGTTCTCTTTTCTTCTTTCATGAGATCAACACTTAGCATCCATATGAGTGAGAATATGCAGTGCTTTTTGCTTCTGTACTGAGCATATTTCACCTAGCACAATGTCTTCCAGTTTCATTCATATTGCTGCAAACAGTAGAATTATGTTTTTTTCTAAAGCTGAATGTTACATTCTTTCCGATAGCATAAGACTTTCTCTTTGTCCCAGCACTTAGGTGGGAAGCTGAGGCAGGAGGATCTCAACAAATTTGAGGTCATTGTGGGCTACAATAAGACTTTGTCTCAAAACACACTCTCTGTCTCTCTCTCTGTCTCTGTCTCTGTCTCTCTCTCTGTCTCTCACTCTCTTTCTCTCTTGCTCGCTCGCTCGCTCCATTCTTACCAGCATTTATTTGCCATTCAAACTGAAGTGAGTTGAAACTTTATTGTAGTTTTGCTCTGTATTTCCCCGATAAAGTGTGATGTTGAGCATTTCTTTGTGTACTTGTTAGCCGTTTGCATGTCTTCTGAAACTTTATTGTAGTTTTGCTCTGTATTTCCCCGATAAAGTGTGATGTTGCTAACATTTTGAGAAATGTTTATTTAGCTCCTTTTAAAATTAGGATTTCTTTTTTGTTCCTTATATATTCTGGATATTAGTCTCTTGCTGTGAAAAGTTGACAGGTGTCAACTCCACCCTCATTTTGCAGGCTGTTTCTTTGCGCTATAGATTGTTTCTTTTGCTTTGTAGAAACTTAAAGAGTTTTGTCTGTTTTTCTTTGTTATCTATACTATTTGACCTTTTATCTGGAAGTATGCCTCTTTTCTTTTATGAGACAAGGATTTATTATGTAGCCCTGCCTGGCCTCAAACTCATAAGCTGTCTCTGCCTCCTCAGTGCTGGGATTAAAGGCATGTGCCACCATACCCAGCTGTTCTGGTATTATTATTATTATTACTATTGTTATTATTTTTAAATATTTATTACTTAAAATTTTTTTTTAAAGTTTTTATTTTTTTATGCGTATGAGTGTAATGCCTGCATGTATGTAAGTACACCCGCAATGCCCGTGGAGGTCAGCCTTGGGACTGGAGTTATGGACAGTTGTAAGCTGCCGTGTGGGTGTTGGGATTCGAACCTGGGTCTTCTGTAAGAACAACCAGTATTCTTAACTGATGAGCCATCTCTCCAGCCCCTTATTTATTATTTTTATTTTATGTGTAAGCGTGTATTGTCTGCATGTAGGTAAGTGCACCAGTGTCGAGCAATGCCCGCGGAGAACAGAAGAGACTGTCGGATCCCCTGGACCTGGAGTTACGGATAGTTGTTAGCTGCCATGTGGGTGCTGGGATTCGAACCTGGGTCTTCAAGAACAGTGTTCTTAACTGCTGAGCCATCTCTCCAGCCCCTGTTCTGGCATTATTTATTTATTTATTTATTTATTTATTTATTTATTTATTTAA